TGGGGCAAGGGTCAGAGTGGGGGCAGATGGGGCAGCCTGCCCGCCCCGCGGGTTGGTCACTTACTGGGTGCTGGTGGAGGCTGTGCCCACGCCCCTCTCGCTGCACGATCACCTTGGCGGAGTGCTTCTTCCGGGCAGAGTCCCAGGCATGGATGAAAAAGCTCCTTTCATGCCCGTGGAGCTGCAGGGGGCGTTTCACCGAGACGACGCCGTCCGTGTGCACTTGGAAGCGCGTGTCGTCCGACAGGTACACCGTCCGCTTCCGGCCCGTGCAGCCCTCGAAGCTCACTGCGGAGAGGGAGACAGCCCCGCCCAGGAGAAGGGCTTACAAGCTGCGTAGTCAGGTCCCCGGCAGGACAGCGAGTGATCGCAGACCAATCAGCAGCCGGATACTCCTCTCTGGACCACACACCACCTGTTAACCCTGCCCGCCGGCGGCCGGACACACCAAGCCCTTCTCTTCCACACCGTGCCGGGCCTTGAGAGAGATTCCCAGGGCGGGTACCAGCTACAGGGTTCCCTCTAATTTTTTCCATCCATGTGCAGAATAAATTTTGTTCTGTGCAGCAAGGCAAATGCAGATGTGCACCACCAATATAAACAACTGCTGCCAGCTGTGGGTATTGTGCTAATCAGCTGGGTGGCACCTGAATCTCTCCTGGGCGGCTGCCCAAGCACTCAGCTTATAGGGAACACTGGTACCAGGGCTCCTAGGGGTATCTGCGTGGGCCTCTCCAGGCACTTAGCAGTCTGCTCCCCCATTTCAGACCCTGGACACTAGAGCCAAAAGCGAGCACAGCTGCAGCGGAGGAGGAGAAAGGGCCGGCAGGGATGTCGGTGCCAACACGGCACAGCCTCCTGGAAGGCTGGCGTTAACGCCTGGGCAGCCTGTAGCCGTGGGCAGAGGGTTCACTGAGCTACCCCCTGCTTAGTGCAGCTCTTGGCTCCTTCCCCAGCCCGTGGAACGACAGTGGGGCCTGTGAGCCGCCCGCAGGCCACCCGGCAGTCAGCAAAAAGGGGCATCGCTTCCTGGCTGAGCCCGTCAGCTCTTCTGCTGCTCCCTGGCCACCAGGGCTTAGCCACTCAGACTAACTGCTCGTCCGAGCGAGTGCAGGGAGAGAGACTCGGTGCCCATTAGCGGGGGGCGCAGGGGAGGGGGGTGCGGGAGGGGGTCCTTAGC